GTGGTACAGCAAAAAACAGAAACTATGTAACTAGAGAGAAAATAGAAACTGTGTAGAATAGAGAGAAAACAGAAACTGTGTGGCATAGAAAGAAAACAGAAACAGTGTAGAATCGAGAGAAAACAGAAACAGTGTAGAATAGAGAGAAAATAGAAACTATGTAGCTAGAGAGAAAACAGAAATTGTGTGGCATAGAAAAAAACAGAAACAGTGTAGAATAGAGAGAAAACAGAAACAGTGTAGAATAGAGAGAAAACAGAAACAGTGTAGAATAGAGAGAAAACAAACTGTGTAGAATAGAGAGAAAACAAAAACTGTGTGGCTAGAGAGAAAACAGAAACTGTGTGACATAGAGAGAGAACAGAAACTTTGTAGCACACAAACACTTTATTTCCCCAACAAAAGCCAAGCAACTTTAAAATTGTAGAACCTACAAATCCGAATTAGCATAGATTACCGGTACCAGATTGAGTGTTGTTTATTCTCTTTGTTCGAAAAACGTGGATGTCTTTCATATTTAAGGCTCAATAGTGGAAAAAGACAACAGTTCTAAAGCTGAAATACAGAACAGTAAATTGTAATATAGTGTATACTGCCAAACACGTTAAAAGTTATAATGGTTTATAATACATTTTAGGCCACATTATGTTATTTAATACAAAAATATGAACAAACGACGTTTTTAAGCAAAATTTGGTTTGGTTGTTATTATACACAAAACTATACAATCTATGTATGCTCTGCCCACCATGGATATTGAAACCCGAACTTTAGTGTCGTAAGCCTTCAGACTCATTGCTGAGCCACTGGGGTTTTTAAACAGAATAAAATTGAATATTAAAAAAGAAGCTATTACCGAAGCTAGTTGACTCATATTTTAATTAATAAATATTCTGTTTTGCTTTAAGAAAGTCGTTAGATCACGTATTTTGTGGCTTTTCCATAAACATTTTCCTCCCAGCAATCCTAGTTGTATCATGTTTAACCCAATATTTCATGTTGCACTAGTTGTAATATACTTAACATGATGTTCCTTGTAACTAGTTGTACCTTACTAAATATGATATTTCTTTTAGCACAAGCTGTAGCTTATTTATCATATTATTTCTTGTATCACTAGTTGTAATATATTTAACATGATATTTGTTTTGGCTATAGTTGTAACATACGTAACTGGTATTGCTTGTAGCACTACTAGTAACATACTTAACAAGATATTTGCTGTTCCACTAGTAGTAACATAGTTAACATGGTATTTCTTGTAGCATTAGTTGTAACATACTTAATATGATATTTGTTGTAGCACTAGTTGTAATATATTTAACATGGTATTTCTTATTGTACTACTTGTAACATACTTAACATGATATTTCTTGTAGCACTAGTTGTAGCATACGTAATATATTTGTTGTAGCACTTTTCTAGTTACGACATCATCGCGTATAGTTGGTTGGTTTATGTTATTTCAGCTTGTGATATACATTCTACCTCTCGAAGCTATTGATTTACCAAATGTTTAGAAGCTAAGTGGTTTCTTTTTACTAAATCTCAAGTATTTTAGTGCTAAATACGTTGATAATTATCAAGAACTGTCATACAACCAGCTGGTAAAGGAACATTAATTTCCATTATTGCTTATTTTAATCATAATAAATTATTCTACTAGTAAAAGTGGTAGAAAAGTTGTTAGCCACTCTATTCAACTTCAAATTTTGGAGAGAAAAATTTCTCGACTCGAACATGTTCAAAACTTAAAACTAAGTAGATATTCTATACTTACATATTTTATTAGTATTTTTGTCCACCTTTTTTTCTTTCTTCTTTAACAGATGTTGAATAAATTATTCCATAAATTAAAAACACGACGTTTTACAATAATGGCATATTACAAAATAGTTGCTTACCCAATTTAGGGCTTGCGAATTCTTTTGGGTGGTTCTGTTTGATTGCATTCATCCTCCTGGTCTGGTGGCCATCCCCTGCACCTGGCCCTTGCCCCCTGGCACGTGGACCTCGTGGTTGTTCCACAGGCAGCACGCGCCTGCGTTTCTTGGGTAGCTTAGCACGCGCCTGTGTATGCGAGTAAAACATGGCAAAATTTGACACAATCACGGGCACTGGGAGAGCTATAGTTAGCACACCTGCAAGAGCACAAAGAGCGCCCACGAACATTCCTGTGTACGTTTTTGGCGCCATGTCTCCATATCCCACTGTGGTCATCGTTACTAAAGCCCACCACAAGCCCAGCGGAATGCTGTTAAAATCGTTTTCTGGATTTGACTCGATTCGCTCGGCATAGTAAACCAAACTGGCGAATATTACAATTCCGAGAACAAGAAAGAAAACCAGAAGAATAAGTTCTCCTGCACTGGCTTTGAAGGTTTGGATCAGGATTTTCAATCCTGCTGAGTGACGAGTAAGTTTGAATAGCCTCATGATCCGAATGATGCTGAAGAACTCCAAGATGTCGGCATTCTCTAGATGGGAGGCAAACCTTTGTAACACCAAATCTATGTAGAAAGACAGAGTTGCTGTAAAGTCGATAATGTTGACAGCTCCTCGAACAAAGTCCAACTTGCTGGGGCAGGCGATGAAACGGGTCGTGAACTCAAAAGTGAACCAAGCATTGCACACACACTCAACGTAAAAAAACGCCAAGTGAGGGTTGGTCTGAAACTTGTCTAATGTCCACGCTTTAGTGTGTTGTGACGTCCAGACGGTGACGTTCCTGATGACAGGAACTCTCATGTTAGGATGAGTCTTCAGACAGAAGGACAGAATGGATACGCAGATGAAGAACACTGATATTATACCAATGACCTAGAGAAATAAACGTATGCTAAAACAGTCTATATACGAAAAACAACATGTGTAACTAATACATGTTAATATTTTGCACTTTTCACACCACTTATCGGGAAAGGCAATATCTGATGCCTGTATTTGTTTTTTTAATTTTTTATTGGGTACAGTGACAGTTAAGAAAGTAGATTATACTTATTAATAACCTCCGCCACCGAAGGTTATATTTTCACCCCTGTGTGTGTGTTTGTGAGCAAGATTTCTAGAAAACGGCTGAATGGATTTGGATGAAAGTTGGCACGAATTGGGACTGTGATTTAACTTAGAAGTGATTAGTTTTTGGAGGGTAAAGGGTCACAGCAAGCCAAGAAAATCCAAAAACTTCCTATCTGTTAACATGAGAACCAATTTTCACATAAATTTTGCTCTATAACTGAGTCAAAAATGATCGGATTTTGATGAAACATGGTGGACGTATTTAGAATCTTATTGTCCTGTCAAAATTGGTTCATATCCCTTGATACGAACACATTTTCAACGCTGCGTGGCGGAGGTGTATACTCTACTGAGTGCCCTTCTAGTTTTATGTGTTATAAAAGTAGTTGTTATTTAACATTAATTTCGAAAATTAGCATTCATGTAATTTTGTAACTTAACACCTGTAAAAATTATAAGATATCCGGTATGTTGTTCCTGATAAACGTCAGTAGTTTGTTTGTTTAGTTTGTTTTGAATTTCGCGCAAAGCTACACGAGGGCTAT